TGTTATTGGTTCCTGAGTAATTGTTGGATGTTTGTCAACTTGGGTCCAATAAGCTTTAACAGTTGCCGCCGGACCTTCGGTATTTTGATACCAAAGCCGAACAATTTCGACTGTTTTGTTCAACCGAATATTGAGTGCGTGCCGTAGCCATGTGTTTGCAGTGCTAGCACTTATTTAACAATAATAACTAAAATGCCAAACATTTATCTTTAATTTGCAATTGATTTGATTAAAATATCTTTTGTACTTTTTGAGTAATAAAAAAAATAAAACACTCGTTAATGGCCGAAGACATTGTAGATACAGTAATACTAATAATAATCAGTTATCGATTTATAATGTATAACACAAGTTATAAGAAAAGCCAATTAAATAGAGAATCAAATGATTGATTTAAAGCGATTAGTAATACAATACAAAATCTATGTCAAAATTATAATAGTATTTATAATTAATACAATAATAATGCGGTAATAATTAAATCTCTATTTATGTTAAGACATGTTATAAGAAAATCAAATTAACGTAAATAATGAATAAAATGATAGTTTTAAAGAAGTTATAAAAAATACAAAAATTTCTAAATTATTGTCTTAATTGAGATGTGAATCAACGATAACAATGGATTCGCTGTCATCCGAGTCTTCGGCCGATAATCTGATGTCTTCGAGTGCTGTCAGCGATAACTCATCACTGATTTTGTCTGAATTAGTGGTCAATTGATTGTGGGATCCGATCGATGAAATACTTGAAGAGGAATCACTCGCTGAACATCTGTTTATATAATAATTTCAATTAAATTTATATTTGACAAAAAATTTAAATTAAACACAAACCCAATATTCTGTGCATTCATTTGTTGAGCCAATTGTTTGACATCCGATTCAATGGTAAGTTTCGATGCCTTCAATGCCCGCAACCCTTCACTCAAACCACTGATTGTTTTCCACACATAATAATCGGCGTATAATAAACACGTAATAAATAGCATTATAACAGTTATGGCAATTATATGTGAATTATTAAATTCTATGACCACTCTTTGATTACTGGAAATAAAAAGATTACTTTTGTATGAAAAATATTTTGAATTTGTTTAGTGTTTGTATCAAACCTTTTATCAATGATATTTAGCAAAAATTTTGCTCTTAAATAATTAATCTCTTTAGTGATTGTCTCAATTGAATCGATGGCTGACTTGATCTGTGCTTTCAATGCCTTCACTTCGGACCCATTGCTTGCGTTGAACTTTTGGCTGAAACCACTGTTTTTTGTGGACACGATATAAATACACAATAATACGGACAAAACAAGCAGTGATGCCATTAATGCAGTAATCAATTCAAAATTAAACACAGTTTTAATCCTAAAAATATTAGTGTTATGTAAAAAAATTAAATTAAATATTTGTTAATCGGTTTTATCAAACCTTTTATCAGAAATCAACTGCTTTTGTCTCAAATCCTTGATCTGAGTCTTCATTGAGTCGTTGGATGACTTGAGCTGTGCTTTCAATGCCAATACTTCACTCAAATCTGTGGCCATTCGCTGATCGCTGCGAAAGATATGTTTTATATAAAAATGTTTTTCAACAAAATATAACACTTATTGAGATAACAAACCTTTGTTTCAAATCATTGATCTCTTCAGCCATTGTCTGCATTGAATTCAATGCTGTGTTGAGCTGTGCTTTCAATGCCTTCACTTCGGACTCATTGCTTGCCTTCAGAGCCGACATCTCTTCACACAATTCACGACACTTTCGGTCCGACTCTTCACTCAGACTAGAGTTTTGGACAAATATTTCATTAATTATGATAACATATAATACAATATTATAATATGAAAAACATACCTGGTTAATTGTGATGACAGAATTGTGGGATTAGGTATTGTTTGAATGAATACATAGCATTCCCCACGGATCAATTTGTGATCATCATGGTTAAATCCATAATAATGGCAACTATTGCTATTGAGTTGCGGGTCATCACCGGAAAGGCCAATAGTTTGTGTGTTTTCATTGTACAGACCGTTGGACTGTAGAAAACGCTTGAGATCTTTCATTGTCTTAACACTATCAGGTATATCGACAAAAATACCTTTATTGCCGTCATTATATTGTATACAATAGTACATTATACGATTAATAGTGATTGTTTAATTATGGTTAAAATAATAACTGATGTTAGATATAAAGCTGACTGTCTCTCTGTGTATGCGATCTGATCTCACAATCACTAATAAAGTTTTGTGACTAAACTGATGGTCAGTTAGGGCTCAGGTTTGCGCACATTTTATTTGCAATATATTATTTAATTGGTGGATACAATATTCAACACGTGATAAATATACAGTGTTTTACTAATGGTATGTAAATAAACACTAATTAAATTGGCGTCAAATGCAATGCAATTCACTGTAAAAGCATATTTGAGAGTCCAATTGAAATACGAGATATGACTTTAAAATGTGTAGTGTTTTGAATATTCAAAGCATGTGATAAATAATCCCTTTTTTCAAACGATTAAAGCTTTAAATCTCATTGAAATTTGAGGCAAATGTTATTTGGATAACAATTTATTGCAATATATTGTATACTGTATACTTTAGTACAAAACACCCTTTTTGTTGTATATGTGTGGAAACATTGGATTATTGTTAAATGCATTTCTATTTAGCACATCGTATACTAATTGTATGAATGTTTTAATTAAACACAAATAAAACTCAAATTGTAAATGCATTTGGACTTCAAGTGAAATATGTTTTGCATATCATTTGCAAAGTCTTAATAATCATCCCTATTTATAAACAATTAACGCTTTAAATCTCATCATTTAATGAAAAATATAATTTTTGATAACATTTTAATACAAATTAAAATATTAATTATAACAATAAAATCAGTAAAATGCATAACAACAACATAAAGGAACTTATTGCAAAAAGCCAAAATATCACTTATAGCAGTATTAATAATCAATAATTAGTTATGGAATTTTAGTCATACAGTGGGCGCAAAAAGAAGCGCAACTCACTAATTTAGTTAATAATTAATTAAATATAACTTTTATTTTAAAATCCTTTTAATACTTTATCAATAATTGTAAAAGACATCATAATTTAAAATTATTTTTTTTTTAAATTTAACCAAATTAAATAAAATTAAATAAAACTAATATTGTGGTGCGAAATAAATAGTGCAACTTAATTGTTAATTACAATTAATAATTAATTAATAGTCAATAGTTTTGCCATTTTTCTGTAAAACCTTAATTGCACGGTTAGTCATAGAGTTGACCAACTTTTCCAAGTCCGAATTGCGTATTTGATCCCAACATTCGGTAATTCTGGCCTTAAGTTCGGGAACTGAATTGAATTGGCGTCCATCGGCGTATACTAGGCGCACCAGTAAACCCCAGAGATTCTCGATGGGGGCATGTCCGAATTGCGTATTTGATCCCAACATTCGGTAATTCTGGCCTTAAGTTCGGGAACTGAATTGAATTGGCGTCCATCGGCGTATACTAGGCGCACCAGTAAACCCCAGAGATTCTCGATGGGGGCAATATCCGGTGAGAGTGATGGCCAATCCATGACCTCGATGTTGTTGTCCTGGAACCACTGTGTGGTCAGTCCAGAGGCGTGGATTGACGCGTTATCTTGTTGGTAAATCCAATGCGGGCCACCAATTGCTTCTCCATATGGTATCAAATAGTCTTCAAGTGTCTTAATATAGTCACTTGAGTTTTGGCGGCCATTTAAAAAGACAATGGGTGTTTTACCATGGTACCCGAAGGCTGCCCAGACCATGACCGAACCGCCACCCATAGCCCTAGTTGAATAGTACTGGGGTTCTTTTCGAATATCGTGCCAGTAATACTGGAGGCCATCAGGTCCGTCGAGATTAAACTTTTTCTCGTCGCTAAACACCACTGTCCGCCATTTTTCGCCGTAGGTGACCTTAGCGTTAGCCCAGGCGTAACGGGCGGTGATGTGCTCGGGTTTGAGTTTGGGCGCTGCCATTCTTTTGCAATATTTTAAATGCGGCGATGATTTGATGATTTGCTGGACTCTTCGGGTACTTAAGGGAACCTGTTGGGCCACTTTTATTTGTTTGGCGGACATGTTGCCTGTGCCGGCGGCCCGAAGTATTGACCTCTCATCCCTTATCGATAGTCTTCGAGGCCTTCCTTTGCGCTTTTTTGGGCCGCCATTCTCACGAGTTTGAAAGAATCGGGTGATGGTTGACTTGTTTTTACCGATTTTGTCGGCAATTTCACAATTTAGCAAACCCTGGTCTTTGTAGGCCAGAATTTTACCGATATCAATATCGGTAAGAAATTTCCATGTTGACATCTATTTAATTAAATAAATAATTATTATTTTAGTTTTTTATTGTTAAATAGTTATTAACTTACCTTAGTAGATGATTAATTCACTTATTAATTTAGTTAATTTAATCGATAATCAAATTTAAACACAATTACAATTAGAGTTGCACTACTTTTTTCGCACAACAAAAACACATTTTGATTAATAACTCACGTGTTTTTAGAGATAATCCATTCAAATTTTTTCTATCACATTTGTTTTAAAGCCTATTACTTGTTTTCCAAGTTTGAATGATATTCATTTACCTGTTTTTGAGAAATAAACGCTTTTGATTGGTTGCGCTTCTTTTTGCGCTCACTGTATTATAAATGCTATTTGTATTAAATATTTCCAGTAAAACATGATAACTTAATATTCTTAAAATTTCTACTAATATTCTACTATAAAATTTTAATTGATTTTAAAATGTTTATTATAATCAATAACAAATATAACGTAATCGTTAATTAATGCAATAATTCAATGCATTTTAGCCTTTTTATGCATCTGTAGGGCGGTGTGGGAGCCAAACAAATCGCCGCACCCGTCACAGCGTATGTGTCGGCCCGGTGTCGGCACCGGTGGGTGCTCTGTGCACACGTGGGCCATAAACGGCACAATCCTAGTGAGATGCAGATGACATGTGTCGCACGTGAAGCCACTGTTATTATTGTCGGCCACATTGAGCTCGGGTGGCATCGGGTGGGCCAACGCCTGGTGTAGGCGAACGTGCAGTTGAGTCCTGTACTTGAGATGGCATTTATCGCACAGATAAGTGTCATATGAGGGCTCACCGGCCGACCACTCGTTGACAGTGCCGTACGAGTGGATGAGCTGCATGTGACCAAACAGTAATAACGAGGTGTGATATTTCATGTAACAGCCGGCGTACGGGCAGTGGTGCCTATCATTCCGCTTCCAACTGGGCTTAGGGTTGGGCACAGGGGTAGACACCGGCGGCGGCCCCGACTTCGGGTGCGCCAACGCCTGGTGCCGGTTGAGGGCCAGTAGTTTCGTGTACTTGAGTTGGCATATATGGCACCGCACGACCGACAACCGCTCGTTCGAGTGGACGGACTGTAAATGAGTGGACAGTAATGATTGCGATGTGAATGTCTGCCGACAGGCAATGTATGGACACGGGATCAGCTCTGGTGAGGGTTTCTCAGTGGTGGTGGGCGTGGGCTTCGGGTGCGCCAACGCTTGATGGTTGTGAAGCGCGAGTTCTGTGCTATACTTGAGGTGACATTTATCGCACGGAAAGCGCTGATCGGCCGACAACTGCCCCCATGAGTGGACGGACTGCATATGTGTCGACAGTAATGATTGGGTGTTAAATGTCTGGCGGCAGCCCATGTATGAGCATGGGATCAGATCGGGTGCAGTTGTTCTGGTAGTTTTAGCGGCCAGTCGGGGATCTACGAGCGCTTTACGCTTCTTGACTACCCGTATGCCGGGCGCGATGTCACGGATTAGCTCATCGCCAGCGCTCGTCAACGTTATGACCGCTTCGGGCGCTCTGTTAGACGTAAACACGTTTATAAAATATACGATAAATACTATAAGAGTTGTGACAATACTTGTTGACTATTTCCGGCACCAGAGGTATGGAGTCTATGAGCGATGGCTTGATATCAACGGGCAATCGGTTACGTGCGGGCCGTTTGGGCTAGAGTTGTGACAATACTTGTTGACTATTTCCGGCACCAGAGGTATGGAGTCTATGAGCGATGGCTTGATATCAACGGGCGATCGGTTACGTGCGGGCCGTTTGGGCGCCGGAACTCTACCAATGAGTTCGATATCAGAGTCCGAATCACTTGAGTATTGAATTAAAAAGTTGCTAAAAATTACTTAAAATGTCTTAAAATACAGACAAAAAACACTTACTTATCGATAATAATGTCCACCAATTGGCTGTCGGCGCTGGAAGTGGTCACTGTTTGTGGCAGTGATGGCACAACTGTTGTCGCGTTTGATGTCTGATAAATGACATCAAGTGATGGCGTCAACGGTTGGCCTCTGATATCGGCTGAAGAACTGATGTGTGTTTACAAAACGGGTTTAAAATTATGTAATGTCTTAAAACACATACTTATTGTACTTAATGTCCACCGATTGTCGGTCAGCACTGGAAGTAGTAGTGGTTGTGGTTATTATCAGCGGCGGTGAAGTGTCAGCAGTACTGATGATTGGTATCTGTTGTATACCATCGAGTGCTGCACTCAATGACTGGTGTTTGACATGAGATGATCTGCCGATCGGTTTCCCGGACTGTGCGCTGCCATCGATGGCATGTCTTTTGCTTATATGCAAATCCAATCTGCTTTGAGTGGCGAACCCTTTGTCGCATCCGTCGTAATGGCATTTAAATGACTTTTGGCGGACAAACGACTCAAATATCGACTCGTAAGTCAACGATTGGCTGCAAAGACACAGACATTTGTCACTCAAATCAGACCCAGAAGGCGACTCAGATCCAGAATCAGATCCAGAATCAGATCCAGAACCACTCCATAGGGAGTGGTGTGGAGAGTAGGGGACAGTACTGGGGCTTAGGGTAGGACTCTGTGGCCACACATACCTGTCGTCCGCCGGCGAACACATGGCGTAAACAATAGACACGTGTTGTGGAGACAAACGGTCAGAAAGTGAGTCAACGGGACATCACTTATAATCACTTAATTTATTGATTAAAACTTATATTTATTTTTATTTAATTATAATTAAAACACAATTTATATACTATTTATTAATTAAAATTATTGAAATTGTGTACAAAAACATTTATTTACAACATTTATTGCATAACAAGTGATTGTTTATAACCAAGGTCATTAAATTACGTCCGATTAATACTGCATTCAGTGCCCCCTTAATAGCAATTAAAAGTTAATTTATAATTAAAATCACATTTATTTATACAAATAAATTATTTATTACATGTTTTACAAGTTTGTAAGTAGTTTAATCAATATTTTGTAGCAATCATTGACTGAATTTGAGTATATTTAATCAAATCTAATAATAATTATACTGACTGTGATAATACAGATACAGTGTTTTCTAAGGAAAACAAATATAAGATTATTAATCATTTAGAAATATTAATAATTCAATTAAAAGTTAGTCTAAAAAATCAGAAAATGTCTAATTTAGTGAATATTTTTATGGTATTTATAGATACAGTAATACTAATAATAATGAGTTATCGACTTATAGAGAAACCAATTAAATAGAGAATCAAATAATTGATTTAAAGCAATTAGTAATACAATACAAAATCTATGTCAAAATTCTAATCGTATTTATAATTAATACAATAATAATGCGGTAATAATTAAATCTCTATTTATGTTAAGACATGTTATAAGAAAATCAAATAAAATAATGAATAAAATGATAGTTTTAAAAAGTTATAAATAATACAAAAATGTCATATTATTCTTATTGTCTCAATTTGTATGTAAGTCAACAATAACTATGGATTC